TGTTCATTTTGGGGAGAAAGAACAGCAGAACTCTTTAAAAATGCAAACATATGTGTGTCCATGTTCTTAACTGGGTAGCTGCCTCCTCTGAGCTGGTTTGTTCAACACTTAGCATCTCAGTGGTGATTAACAAATCTAAAAATTCTGCTCAGTGATGTCTCACAGGAATGAGAAGGGTGTCTTCCATAAAAATCTCATCCAGAGTACCCAAGACAACAGATGGGGTCTATTCTGGAACTGGCACATTCTGGCACATCTTGAGGATATTTTCCCCAAGGAAATGGGTGATTCTGTGGGGTAAATTTACTTCATAATGTACCATTTTTGTTGAGACCACTTTTCAGTCATAGAATTTCAATGAACAGCTAGTGAGTGCTCTCGTGTTTTTTTCTTTTACCAAAGCAAGGCTGAGAAATCCTATAGCCCTTAATTACAACATGATGTCCCATAAATTAAAAATGAAGCTGCACTACTGACCAGCAGATGATGATGACGGAGAAGTGACTCTTCTCTGCCTCAGTTTCTTTGGCAATTAATTTTATATCATAAGATAGGTGTGATACGTCAATGAATATAAAGTAGGTACCACCACCAATGCCTGGCATGAGATGGTCTACTCAAGCTAGACAGCTGTTTTAGATTTTACTATTGTTTTCTTTATTTTTTAACCATTTCTTCATCTATTATAAAGAGCAAATGAAATGGATCTTATCTGATAAACCCAGATGATTTCCTATGATAAAGAAGTTGTATTAAGGAGCTGCAGAGATGGCTCAGCAGTTAAAAGCAAATACTGCTCTTATGGAGGCCCTAATACCCATGTAGGATAGCTCACAACCACTTGTAACTCCAGGTCCAGAGGATCTAACATCCTCTTCTGGAATCTATTGCTACTTCTTGTGCACTCATGCAAATTAACCCACACAATACACACAGACACACACACACACACACACACACACACACACACACACACACACACACGCAAACAACCTAAATATTTTAGAGAAAACTTGACAAGTAGTAGTAAAGCTGAGGGGCTTCCAAGCAGGAGACAGAATAGATTGTAAATAGCACTAAATACCACCTGTGAAATCCTCACAAAGCTATTTTCTCTCAACATGAATAGAATCTCAAAATACTCACTGTCTCCGGATGTTGGAATGGAGTCCTTAAAGATGGTAAGTTCCCTGCCGCTGGAGACAGTTTCTTTTCTAGGAATGTTACCTATATTGGTTGAGTCTCTTTTGATTTCATTTGGACATACTGTTGTTCACAGGTACTAGGAATGTAATCAAGTGAATAATCTAACATGAAGAGCTTGGGGAACACAGAAATGCTCAAAAATAAGTGGTTCTCAACCTGTGGATCATGATTCCTTTGAGGGTTGCATGTGAGATATCCTGCATATCAGATATTATATGATTCATAACCATAGCAAAATTACAGTTATGAGGTAGCAAAGAAATAATGGTTGGGGGTAATCACAACATGAGGAACTTATTATAGGATCACATCATTAGAAGGTCAAGAGCCACTGCTCTTAATAAAGATCCTAGAAATACCCTTCCCTTGTCTTTGACCCTCTACTGCCCTGCTGCCCTGTTTTGCATCTGAGACAAGACACAGAAATTGGGATTATTCTTCCCCAAGACGGGTTATAGAAACTAGAATCTGCTCTCCTTAAATCAACCCTAAAATGCTAAAAGTTATTCTCTAATCTTCTCCTGCCTTTCTGTGTTGGAGCTAACAATAAAGAAATTCTCCAGCCTACCTAACTTGAATACCATTTCTAGAAGGGTCTTTGCACACACAGAGAAGAAAGGTATGCTATACAGAAAAGCCAAGAGTAAACTGAGAAGTCTCTGCTGCATGCCCCTGCTCAGTCTATTACCTTTATGTCACGCCTTTTTGTCCTACCCCATTTTTAATGGATCCCTGAGGGAAATATTTCTCATCACCCTAGGTACAAAAGGAAAAAACAGACCAAATAAGATTCTATCCACATCCATGTTGGTGAACCAATGAGTTCACTAGGTTACTTACAGAAGTATGAGTAACTTACCAAAAAGTCCCACCCCAGCATGAAAGATCACTTCCCAAAGCCACAACACTGATGTTCCTTAAACACCTTGCTGGCAGTTAAATGACTAAAGGCTCTCTTCCTCCCAGGCATTGCTGACCATTTATACAATCTCAGGAGGGATCTCTAGAGTCTTGTGGGTTTCATGAGCCTTGTGACCCTCCCCATCCCCTCCATGAGGGAGTTAATGGGCCCAGTCTTATGAGGGTCTCATGGGGGTGATAACAGCTGCTCTGAGTCAAGATAATAATGATGAGAATGCCCAACCAAGAGGAAACAGCTACACAACAGTTTATACTTGGCTGCCCATGCTGCATCAAACACAAGCATGAAAAGATATTTCCCTGAGTCTTTACATCTTTGATCGAAAGCCCCTGTATCATGTAAAACTAAGATCAAATACATTTTTATATTTTCTCTTGTTAACCTTTCTTTTCCTACAGAGGTATCAGCCATCCCCCTTTGCAATGTAAAGCAAAGCAATTATCCTTTTTATTCTATCCACAGAGGGCACAGGCAGAAATGCAGACAGGACCCCAGTGCCATCATGTGTGAATCTCTTTCATCTTTACAAGTGTACTTCTGTTCTCCTTAGCCACAGAGAGAGCCTTGCTGTTCTTATCAGTTTTCTGTGGCAAGACGTGAACATAAAACTTCACAAATTTTGTACGGTAGAAGCCAGACACTCAAAATCAAAATGGTAACTAATATATTACCATCTTGTTGTCACAAAGCCAAATCCAGTTGAAGGAAAATACTCTGTCCAAAGGCAATCTGAACAATCTGTTGTGCCAGGGAGCTGGATCCTACCACCTGAATGCAATCTTTCCAGAAACCACTGAGAAAAATGAAGGGAAGGGAGTTAGTGTCCTGGCAAAGAAAGCATAGGTTCTCCACAATGGGAAGGGGTATATGGCATAATTCCAGGCAGAGAAAATAACTGGATTTCATCACAATTTAAAGTGAATAAAAAGTGGAACCAATTTCTTCTGACTTTCTCCTGTCCTCTCCTAACCCACGAATCCTGAGCCAGACTTTCCAATAGAAACAAACTAATGGCTTGAAAATGAGTGGATACTAAAAATAATGAAAATTTCTCACTCATCAAACAATGAAGGCTCCAGTCACATGAAGACTTCTATCACATTCCACTGAATACAACATTCCATTTGTTATACAACACACTATTATTTTATACACAAAGGATTGTGTACACATTACATATGACAATTGTAATATGTTCTTAGCTATAAAGATGTCAGATATAAAGTTGTAAAGATGTGTGTATCTAGGAACTAATGAGATAACCAAAATAAATAAATCATAACATAGACTGACATGGTCTTTACTTTCCTTCATTTAGCAAATGAAGTTTAAGTCAGTTAAGCAAAGAGTTAATAAACACAGGCTAGGTACTATGATAAGCACAGTGGATGCAGAAATGCTTGGGATCCAACTTTATATTCTAGAAATGTACAGAACTAGAAGGCACAGCCATATATAAACTAATTGCAATTAGATATTCAAATCTCAAAAGAATCCTTTAACTTTTACAACACAAAACCTTCCTTCTTCAGGACATTTGTATATGCTATTTCTTCTGTACTCAATCCTTAATTTCTTTTATCTGGCTAATTAATATCCATATACAACTATCTGGCTCTCTTTGTAGGTCGGACAATAAAACCTGGATACCGGGTGTGGAGGTTGGAATATACTTGGCCTCGTAATCTCATACGGACTGTTACTATTAGATGTGTCTTTGTTGGACTGGGTTTGGCATTGTTGGATGAAGTGTGTCACTGTGGGGGCAGATTTTTTTTTTTTTCTGATCAAGTGGCAAACTTTATTTTTCTACCCGGAGCTTATATAGTCAGCACAGCAAGGATGTAGGAAAATGGGGCAGGGGAAGTAAGAATGTTTGAGAACTAGGTATTCTTGCAAGCAGAATATAGAAAATCACAAACAATGGATGTTGATATGGGTAGAAAGATCAGGAATTATGAACAAGAAAGGTTACTATGATGGTGGGGCTGGTGATTATATGCTAGGCTAATCTTGCTATTTAGGGCTAGTTATTAAATCATCTAACCTTTGTGCAATAACTGAAGGCTCTAAATGTACGGCCAAGGGAAAGCCAGAGTTCAGCCAAGGTTCGTTCCATAACTGAGCATAGATCCAGCCTCAGTTTCCAACAGTAGTTTATTTAAATAATAACTTGGCATAGCCCTACACAATGCGTACCATTTAAAGGGTGTATGCTCCTAGGACCCACTAAATCAGCAGTTCTCAGCCTCTGGGTCAAGACCCCTTTGGGGTAGAGCACTTTTCATTATCAGAAAACATTTACAATATGATTCTTAACTAACAAAATTAGTTATTTCAATAACAATTATGATTGGGGGTTATCACAACATGAGGAAAGAACTATTAAAGTGTCACAGCATTAGGAAGATTGAGAATCACAACTTAGTATCTTGAAGTGCTACACAAAAATAGTAATGGTAGGAGTCCCATTTGAAGCGTTGGCATGTGATTTGTCTTGACTCTTTAAGAGCTTTTAGGAAATAATACTCAAAATCTGCTTTTTTTCACTGGGTGGTGGTAGCACACCACTTGGGAGGCAGAGGCAGGCAGATTTCTTTAAGTTGGAGGACAGCTTGGTCTACAGAGTGAGTTCCAGGAAAGCCAGGGGTACACAGAAACCCTTTCTTGAAAAACAAACAAAAAAAGTCAAGGCAGTGGTGGCACATGCCTTTGATCCCAGCACACAGGCAGAGACAGTATCTTTGTGTCCTGTTTCAGGACAGGCCCCAAAGCTACAGAGAAACCCTGTCTTGAAAAACAACAAAAATAATGCTTTTTTCAAACCCCCAATTCTAAAGAAGCCTACCATAAGTGGGAATCGCAGAAGGGCAAAAGTATCAGGGGCCTGGGGATTCAGGGGGTGAGACACTGGGGCTAAGCCAGCTTCGTTCCCTGATAAGACTCTGAGGGTTGGTAAGTGTGGAGCTAGGATGCTCAGTTGTAGTACTAGGGTGTTCTGAGGGCTGGGCTAAGCCTAATAGGGCCAATCGTTGGGCAGGTGGGGTGGAAAAATAGATCTTCTGTTCTTCTGAGTACCGCTCTTCAGGAGTCACAGCATCCCGGTAAGTCCAGTCATGCCAATGGAAATTGAAGCCTTCAAGTAGAGTGATTCGGCCAGCTCTTGTAGGCACACAATCAGGGGGCTTTCTGAGTGGCAAATTTGGCACTTCAATCCCTGGCAGCAACATTACCCCTTGGATAGCACACCAGCCCCCAAATCGGGGGTGTATATACACGCCTGCTATGTGCTGGGTCCCTCATGGGTCAGCTCCACATCATGTCGTTGGTAGTAGTAAGCAGCACCTGCCACGTGGGCTGCGGTCTGTGCTAGAATCTTAGGGTGTCGGTTGGGGTGGACCTCATAGTCAGCAATGATTTTCATTTGCAGTTCTGGAAACTTCTCCGCAACACTTCTCAGGTGGTAGGACACACACTGATCTACGGGGTCTCTCAGTGGTTGGAGGTGGTAGCTCTTTAAGAAAGGTTTGAGGGCTTTGTCAAACATAGCAGGTGTGCTGAGTACCAAGAAGGCCAGAGTAGGTCCTGGGAAGGGCAAGTGGAAGGCTGGAGGCACCAGTTCATTGTACCATGCCACCTGGAAGGGGTAAACCTCGAAGCCAAAAGGACACAAGCTGTCCTCAATCTTCAACTTCAGTTCTGCGACACGCGGCTCCATAACGCACGCTGGACACTGAGCTAGCTGGGAAATCGTGGGGGCAGATTTTTATGGTTTCCTATGCTCAAAATATAGTGCAGTGAGTCAGCCAACTGTCTTTTGCTTGCAAGACAGGGAACTGTCAGCTATTTCTCCTACACCATGTCTGCCTGCATGCCACCATGCTCACCATCATGATGATAATGGACTGAACTTCTGAAATTGTAAGTGATGCACTCCAATTAAATAGTATCTCTTCACAAAAATAAAATCCTTAAGTAAGACACCAGCTCATGGTACATACTTTTCTCCATTCAAAGACTGTATCTTAAGGATGAAAAAAATGGCTCTGTGGTAAATGTGCTTGATGTGCAACCATGAGGACCAGAGTTTGGATCCCGGCAACCATAAAAAAAGCTGGGCAATAGTTAGGCAGTGGTGGCATATGCCTTTAATACCAGCATTTAGAAGGCAGAATCCAGTGGATTTCTGTGAGTTTAAGGCCAGCCTGGTATATAGAGGGAGTTCCAGAACAGCCCAGGCTACACAGAAAAACCCTGTTTTGACAAACAAAATAAAAAAAAAAACAAACAAAAACAACAAAAAGAAAGCTAGGCAATGGAGACACAAGGGAGGGCCTAAACCCTGCCCCAAATAACTTGACAGATTTTGATGATCCCTCCTGGAAGGAATGACCCTCCTGGGGAGTTGATGGGGGATGGGACTGGGGAGTAGGGAGGGGCTTGGGAGGATGGGAGGGAGAGGGAACTGGGATAGATATGTTAAATATATATATGTGTGTGTGTGTGTGTGTGTGTGTGTGTGTGTGTGTGTGTGTATGTATATATGTATATACATGTATATCTCCTAGGCAAGGACACAAATCAAATGCCTATCACTCCAGCACAGGGATTGTCAGGGAGTCAGAGATGGGACTCTCTGAGGCTCACTGGCCATCAGCCTAGCCAAAAAATAGCAGGCTTCTGTCTCAGTAACAGTGTCCAACATTAATAAAATGGAGAGTAACAGAGGAAGACACCCATGGTTCTCATCTGGACTCTATGTGTGTGCATCAGCATGCACTTACACACATATGTGCACATATGCATCACTTACACATACCCAAACAACAACACAACAAAGCCTTTATTTCCACAACAAATGAAAACCAACACTATGCCCCTAAAAGAGTAAATGCAGGGGGTTGGCCTGGGATCCTCCTGCTCCTGTGTCCTGTCCCCATTCAGAGCACCCTTGGAATTCTGATACACCCCCACCCATCCCCACTGTGAGTCTGCCCCTCCCCCTACCCTGTGCCCTACCCTGCCCACTGTCCCACCTCTCTGGTCGAGCACTGGGACAGAGCCAACAATCCACACCACTTCGGGGACCTCTTGAAGCAACTCTGAACACAGGAGACCTGCCTATCCAAGCAGGACCACCCATAATTTCTACCTGCTCGGTCTCTGACCCCCATCTCCAATCCTCTGCTGGAGTCCTGGGCCCCTCCTAGAGATCAGCCTATCTCTGCAGGACCATTCTGAGGTCCCACCAGCAAGATCCTTGACCCCCAAAGCAGGGCCTCTGCTAAAGAAAGAGGCCTCAGTTGGAAAGTGCAAGAAATCAGTGCAGAAACATCCCGCGTATCAGCCCAGCCTTTGTCCTCTTCTGCCAGCCATTGGCTAGAGGTGAGTCTGGGCTCAATTGGGGCAGCCTCTCCTTACAACCTTCCCCCATCCCCGGGAACTCCCTGGGTTAGCCCTGGATCCCCCTGAACCTGTGTCCTGTCCCCATCCAGAGCACACTTGGAGCTCTGATATACCCCCACCCATCCCTGCAGCGAGACTGCCCCTCCCTACTCTGTGCCCTACTCTGCCCACTGTCCCACCGCTCTAGTTGAGCACTAGGACAGAGGGTGGAGCCAACAGTCTACACTACTTCAGGGACTTCTTGGAGCAACTCTGAACACAGGAGACGTGCCTATCCATGCAGGACCACCCACAATCTCCTCCTGCTTGGTCTGTGACCCCTATCTCAGTCCTCTGCTAGAGTCGTGGCCCCTCCTAGAGATCCGCCTATCTCTGAGGGAACACTCCGAGTTCCTTGAGGCATCTTCTACTGGATCCTCATCCCTGACCCCATCCCCTGGTCCCTGTCTGCAGAGAGACCTCCTAGAGAGCTTGGACCACCCAGAGCTACAGACATTGTAACTCTGACCCACATAAGCCCACCGGGGAAGTACCATAGGGAGAGGGGGAGACCCCAACAACACCTACTGGAAGAAGCTAAGGGAAGACAGCAATACAAGAAAACACCTAACAACAGAAAGACAAGCATGACACCACCAGAAGCTAGGGAATCTACCCCAACTAGAACGGAAGACAACAACAAAACAGAGGAAGCAGAAGGGAACAACTTAAAAATTACTGTAATTAAAGTGATAAAGGCCCTCAAAGAAGATGTGAGAAAATCCCTTAAAGAAATGGAAGAAAAACCAAACAAAAAGTGGAAGAAATGAACAAATCCCTTAAGGAAAGTAAAGAAAGTACAGAAAGCCAAGAAAAAACAATTAAGCAGGTAAAGGAAACGGTTCAAGACTTGAAAACTGAAATAGAGAAAATAAAGACAACACAAACCAAAGGAATGCTGGAAATAGAAAAACTGGGCAAAAAATCGGGAACTAAAGACACAAACTTAACCAACAGAATCTCAGGCGCAGAACATAAACTAGAGGAAATAGATTGATCGACCAAAGAAAATCATAAATCCAAAAAATCGTTAACACAAAACATCCAGGAAATGTGGGACACCGTGAAAAGGCCAAACCTAAGAATAACAGGCAAAGAGGAAGATGAGGAAGGTGCCAAAAACATATTCAACAAAATCATTGAGGAAAACTTTCCAAATCTGAAGAAGGACATGCCCATGAAAGTACAGGAAGCATACCGAACCCCAAATAGGCTGGACTAAAGAAAAAAGACCCCTCGACATATAATAATCAAAAAACCTAGCATACACAATAAAGAAAGAATATTAAGAGCAGCGAAGGAAAAAGGACAGGTAACATATAAAGGCAGACCTATCAAAATTACAACTGACTTCTCCATGGAAACCCTCAAGGCCAGAAGGTCCTGGATAGATGTTCTACAAGTATTAAGAGAACACGGATACCAGCCCAGGCTACTATACCCAGTAATCACTATATATGGAGAAAAAAAGATATTTAATGACAAAACCAGATTTTCCCAATACATATCTACAAATCCAGCCCTACAGAAAATATTGGAAGGAAAACTCCAACCCAAGGATGGTAACTACATCCACAAATATGTAGGCAACATATAATGTAACTACACCTACACCAGAAGCCAAGGATAAAGCAGACAAGAACAAATATATTCACAATACCACTGGCAACAACAAATCTAAAACAAACAAGCATCAACAATCAATGGTCCTTACTCACCCTCAACATTAATGGTCTTAACTCACCCATAAAAAGACACAAGCTAACAGAATGGATAAGAAGACAGAATCCATCCTTCTGCTGCATACAAGAAACACATCCAAGCTTCAAAGATAGACATTACCTCAGGGTAAAGGGTTAGGAAAAGACCTTCCAATCAAATGGAACCAAGAAGCAAGCAGGTGTGGCTATCCTAATATCTAACAAGTTAGACTTCAAAACAAAATTAATCAAAAGAGATGAAGACGGCCATTTCGTATTCATCGCAGGATAAATCCATCAACACAAAGTCTCAGTTCTGAACATCTATGCCCCTAACACAAAGGTACCCACATTTGTAAAAGAAATGCTACTAAAACTCAAAGCTCATATAAAACCTCACACACTTATAGTGGGAGACTTCAATACACCACTCTCAACACTAGACAGGAACACCAATCTCAGAAACTCAACAAAGAAATAAAAGAATTGACAGGAGTTATATCCCAACTGGGTTTAAGAGACATCTATAGAACATTCAAACCAAACACAAAAGAATATACCTTCTTCTCTGCTCCACATGGAACCTTCTCTAAAATCGACCACATACTAGGTGGTATAACAAACCTCAACAGATACAAGAGAATAGGAATAGTCCCCTGTACTTTATCAGACCACCATGCCTTAAAATTGGAATTCAACAACAACACAAAAAGCAGAAAACCTGCAAACTCATGGAAATTGAACAATGTGCAATTGTACCACAGAGGAAATAAAGAAATTAAGGACTTTCTAATATTCAATGAGAATGAGGACACAACATACCCGAACTTATGGGACATCTTGAAAGCAGTGTTACAAGGGAAGTTCATTGCAGTAAGTGCCCATATGAAGAAAGCAGAGGATAGGCACATAAGAGAATTAAAAGCACATCTGAAAGACTTAGAACAGAGAGAAGCGAATTCACCCCGCAGGAGTAGACGCCAGGAAATAATCAACTGGAGGGCTCAAATCAACAAAATAGAAACCAGGAAAAAAAATACAAAAATTCAATGCAACAAAGAGTTGGTTTTTTTGAGAAAATCAACAAGATAGACAAACCTTTATCCAAACTAACAAAAAAGCAGAGAGAGAACATGCAAATTAACAAAATCAGAAACGAAAAGGGGAACATGACAATGGACACAGAGAAATCCAGACACTTTTCAGGTCATACTATGAAAAACTGTATTCCACAAAAATTGAAAATTCAAAGGAAATGAACAAATTTCTGAGTAACTATTACTTACCAAAATTAAATCAAGAACAGACAAATAACTGAAATAGACCTATAGCTCCCAATGAAATAGAAGCAGTCATCAAAAGCCTTCCAACGAAAAAAAGTCCAGGGCCAGATGGATTCAGTGCAGAATTCTACCAGACATTCAAGGAAGAACTAATACCACTACTCCTCAAACTGTTCCACAAAATTGCCAAACTCTTTTTATGAGGCCACAATAACCTTGGTACCCAAGCCTCAGAAAGACACAGCTAAGAAAGAAAACTACAGACCAATATCCCTGATGAACATCGACACAAAAATACTCAATAAAATACTGGCAAA